ACAATTTCCAATTTTCCTAGATTCGTACATTCCATGTCCCAATTATTAATGGATGCCCCCTGTTGTTGTTAAGTGCAGTTGAGTTGATTCCAACTCATAGCGACCCTGTATAGGGTTTCCAAGGAGCAACTGGTGGGTTTGAACCGCCATGCACCCCAAATCTTAACCCTAGTGAATATGCCTTTACATAAGTTGTACTCTTTGCCCAGAATTTCCTTCTTTCCTTCTTGGGTCCTAGGATACTCTATACTAGTTCCCACCTCCCCTGAAAATGCCCTAATCCCTGGGTACAGTGCACGCTCCCTCCACAGCTCTCTACCCCACCCCCAGCATCGAAGCCGTGTCCTGCTTCAAAGACCAGTGAGCCCAGCAGGGACATTCACCGTGGGCAGGGGAAGGCGCCTGGGCCTGGACTTCTTGCCTCATGAGCCCAAGAATCCAGGTCGTAAACTTGTGGCTGGCAGGGTTCGTGAGAACCATTTTCAGGGTAGGCTGGGACCCACCTTGATTTACATAATTGAAATCCTTAGAGATAGAATCTGGCAATCAGTTCTAGGTGACCCTTAGGATCCCAATACTTGAAAAACTCTGCACTAGTTGAAGGGAGAAAACTTAGGGTTTTTGATCTTCAAACTACCAGAGACATCAGCATTGTCTTCTTGTCAGATTCTCAGTCAGAGGTAGCAGCCCGGGCCCTGTCCACGCCATTGCTGGATCTCTATGCGTTCCTTATTGTGATCTCCAGCCGGAGCTTCTTGTTACACACCCAGTGCTTCCTCAGCTACACGCCTTTGCTATGGCATTCTCTCTGTGAGAAGACTCTCACCAGTTCCAAGTCTTGCGTATCTTCAGATCCATCTCTTCCTTGGAGTTGTTCTAAGAGGCCCCAGTTGAACAGTTGTGCCATTGAGTCGATTTTGACATTAACAACCCTGTAGCAACCTTACATTGACAGTGTAGAACTGCTCCAAATGGTTTCCAAGAGTGTAATCTTTATGGCAAGGATCTCTGGTAGTGTAGTGGTTATGAGCCAGGCTGCTAACCTCAGGGTCAGCAGTTCAAAACTACTAGCAGTTCTATGGGAGAAAGATGAGGCTTTCTGCTCCCGTAAAGATTTACAGCCTTGGAAACCCAGTACAGGGTTGCTATGAGTCGGAACCGATTCTACGGCACACCATCACCAGCAATCTTTATGGGAGGATCCCTGGTATGGTGCAATAGGATAAATATTGGACTACTATCTTAAAGGTTGGCAGTTCAAACCCAGCAGCCACTCCTTGGAAACCCTATTTAGGGCTACTATGAGTATGGGGGCAGACTGCCTGATCTTTTCTTCCACAGAGTCTTTCAGTTAGCAGCTGAGCACTTACTGCACCCCCAGGACCCTTAATTTAGTCTATACATTTTCTTTCTCCCGCTTGTACCGACCCTTGGTGCTGTGACTACATCTTGTCTTCTGAGCCACACCCATGTACAAGGCCTGGCTACTTTGCACCAGAAATTGTAGTTCAGGGGTAGGTGCAGCCTCAGGATCAGGTCCTCATCTTGGAGTCTGTGTTTCATGCTCTGACTCTCTTCCTTTGTTGGGCCTTGTTCTGGGAGCCACAGCCCTCCCCTAGGCCTCCAGACAGTTGCCAATGAGCTGAAGGAGTTGACCTAGCCCTGTTGAGGTGGGAGGGTTGGGGACTTCTAGCCAGATGGCAGTGAGTGGTCATGTAAGGGTATGTTATGGTGGTGGTTGTGTGCCACCGAGTCACTTCCAAATCATAGTGAGCTTGTATAGGGTTTCTGAAGCGGTAAACCTTTATGGGAGCAGAAAGCCTCATCTTTCTCCTGTTGCATGACTTGTAGATATGAACTACTAACCTTGTGGTTAGCAACCCAGCTTGTAATCCAATGCGCTACCAGGAGTCCTGGTGTGGTGCTGCAGGTTACTGCACTGGACTGTTAAGGTTGGTTTGAATCACAAGGTCAGCATTTCAAGCTCACCAGCTGCTCCCTGGAAACCCTATATAGGGTTGCTATGAATTGGAATTGACTCGCTGACACTTAACAACAATTCACAACAAAAGCGAGGGCTCCTAAGGGTATGTTAGTCCTGGCCTAAAATAGCTCCCATTACTTTGAGTTCTTATTTTGTGAAACTGTTTTCAGTTTGTGATAAAGAGTGTTCCTTTTTTTTTTTTTTTTTTTTTAATGTGTACATAATTTTATTTGTGATTTAATTATTCCTCAGATTTGGAGTTTTCCTGAAAAAGAATACTTTTCTAGGCATCACTTCATACATGCCTTGCCCTCTGCTTTGAGTCCTGTCCCCCAGCCGCCAGCCTTAGCTAGGGCTCTCAGGTCTCAGCTTAAATGTTGTTTCCTGAACCTCTACTCATGCTGCACCTAATACTTTTCCTTACTGTGGTGCTGTGGGATAAAGTACTAGATCACAGGTTGGTTTGAATCCTAAGGTCGGTAGTTCAAACTCATCAACCGCTCCTTGGAAACCCTATTTAGGGTTGCTATGAGTTGGAACCGACTAGAGAGTACTTAACAGCAACATGTATTTATATCATGGCTGAATTAATTATTTGTTTGCCCTGCTAGACTAAAAGTTGAACAAGAATATGAACCCTGTCATCCTAAATGCTGCATCTCCAGCATCTCACATCCCATAGGACTGTTAGCTGGTCATACTATGGTAGCTTACATGTGGCTAAATTGTGGGAAGCTGTCCTACTGCTAGTTCAAATACCAGCAGGGTCACCCTTGGTAGACAAGTTTCATAGGAAGTTACAGATTAAGACCATTAGGAAGAAGGAATACGCAGGCTACTTCTGAGGGATTAGTCCCTGAATCCTTCTGAGGGATTAGTCTAATATAGTGCTGGAAGATGAGCCCCTCAGGTTGGAAGGTACTCAAACTACAAATGAGCTTCCTCAAAGTAGAGATGACCTTAATGACATGGTTGCAACAAAGCTTTCAGGACATTCATTTACTAATGGCACACAACCCAGAATGAGAAGAAACAATTGCAAATATCCATTGATAATAACGTAGAATGCTTGAAGTATGAATCTAGGAAAGTTGGAAGTTGTCAAAAATGAAATGGAATGCATTAAGATCAATATACTAGGCATTAGTGAATTGAAATGGAAAGGTACTGGCCATTTTGAATCAGACAATCATGGTTTATTTTTCCAGGAATGACAAATTCAAGAGGAATGGTGTCACATTCATTATCAAAAAGAACATTTCAATATCTATCTTGAAATATAGATGTGATATAAATATGTGATAGGATAATATCTGTAAGCTTACAGGGAAGACCAGTTCATACGATTTTTACATGAACCACCAAACTAGTGAAGATGAAGAACTCTACCTACTTCTGTAGTCTGAATTTGATCAAACATGCTATCAAAATGCATTGATCATTATTGGTGATTGGAATGAGAAAGTTGAAAACAAAGAAGAGGGATCAATAGTTGGAAAATATGGCCTTAGTGACAGAAATGAAGTTGGAGATTGCATGATAGAATTTTGTAAGACAACTTTTAACAACATAAACAGCCATTGTACACGTGAACTTCTCCGACTCATAGCCACCCTGTATAGGATTTCTGAGGAGTGACCCGTGAGCTTGAATTGCGAAAGTTGCAGTTCAAGTCGGCTTTGCAGTCCAGCACATTAACTCACAGCACTACACGCATTTGTTGTTGTTGTTGTTAGGTGCCAACGAGTAGGTACCAACTCATAACGACCTTATGCACAGCAGAACGAAACACTGCCCGATCCTGGGCCAACCTCACTACTGTTGCCACACTTGAGTCCATCTCTCTGGGGATCTTCCTCTTTTTCTCTGACCCTCCACCTTACCAAACATGATATCATTCTCCAGCGACTGGTCCCTCCGGACAATATGTCCAAAGTATGAGAGACGAAGTTTGGCCATCTTGGCCTCCAAGGAGCACTCTGG